AAGTGGGATTAACCACCATTTCCCTCTGTTGCAATGATAAAATCCCCCGCCCTAAACCCCCGAAGGGTTGTTCCTGGAGTCACCTGGAGGTTTTCCTGGAGAGGGTTTTCCCGGGGGGCAACGCCCCCCCGGCCCGGTCTGGACCGGGCCCCCTGGGGATCGAGGGCCCGAAACAAAACCCGGCTGTTACTGTGGGGTGCCCCGCAACCAAAGTAAAAGAGCACAGCCCGGGGTGGTAAGGAAAAATACTTTAGGCGCTTTCCAGTGGGCCGCTTGGAAGACTGCCAGGGGTCTGTGGGGAAACCCCCTTATGTATGCTGGGAATCAGTTGAACAGGGTTTGGGCCCCCTTTACACTTTTTGTATGGTTCTTAAGTGCTAGTGACACCCCAAAAAACCTTGTTTTTCCCCAATTCAGAATTTTAACCTTTTCCCTCCCTCTCATTTCCCTCATGAACCTGATTCCATTTATTTCAAGTTGCGCCCCCTACTGACCACCCATTTTAATTTTTGCCCCCAACCCCCCTCCCCACCCCAGTTTCTCACCCCCAATAATTTCGTTTTTTCCCCCGTTGACGACATGCCAGTCTCTGGCCCCAAAAAAATCCAAAAACCCCTCCCACGGTCTGCCCAAATCTTCCCCTCCTTTTTAAAAAAAAATCGTGGTTTTTATCTATGTAACCCCAAACCCCAAAGTGCTTCACGGTCACTGCCCAGGGGTCCCCCGCCCCCAAAACCCCCATCCACAGTTCAAAAAAAAAGGGGTTTTTCATACAAGCAAAAAGTTGCTGGGGGGTGGGCACCCCAGCCTCGAACCCTGTTCTATACGTAAACCCGGTTTTTCCCCCAACCCTTTCCGGTTTTCCTGTAATGGTACCCTTGCCCAGGCATACCAAGTATCCCAAACCCCTCTTCCAAACCCCCTCCAAAACCCCGCTTCAATAAAAAAAGCCCCCAAAAAAATCCCCTTTAACACCGTTTTAATTTTGCATTTTGCCCGTCAAGCCCGAGGACACCCCTCCTTGACATTCCCCCCAAAACTCCCTAATAGGTGCATGTCCTTCCCTCATGCTCCTACCTGGTATGTCCAGCTGTCCCTCGTGAACAACCGACCCCATGACCTTCCTCATCCTATTTCCCAAGACTTTTGCAAAGATTTTATATTCTGAACACATAAGAGATATTGCTCTAAATGCACTCAGACCCCTCCCTCCACCTTTTTTGGGCACCAACACAACTACCCCCATACTCTGTGTCACACCCAACCTCCCCTCAGTGAGCATGCAATTCAATACATCAACCAGTGCTTAATACTTCCCCAATGCGCCCTATAAAATTCATTCGAAATGCCATCTATACCTGGTGCTTTTCCTTTACACATCTTAAAAATCGCCTCCTCTACCTCCCCACCAGGCCACCCGCATGAACTCTCCCTATGCCCCGCCGAAGCTTTTCCCCAAACCAAAGAACAGCATAAAAACTTATGCTCTCTGTGGTGGGGAGTATCTGACCCGGCAGGTAACCACCCAAACCTGTGCATACTTCCAATTGCAAAAGGGATGTTGCCTTTTGTCTGACCCTAAATTTTCGCAAGACACAAACCGAAGGTTTGTCTCCCCATAGCACCTCTTCCATACCCGCCCTGACTCTAACCGCATTGAAACGCTCATTGTGAATTTCTGCAAGTTGACTACGGAGATGTTCACTGTCGCCATACCTACTACTCCCGTCCCCACATAATAATCATTCAGTTGTCCCTCCAGATAATTTTGCAGCTCATACCTCCACCTCGCCTCCTCCCTTTCCCAACGCCTATGGTAATTCGCTATCCCGGGCTTGGCACTCGTTTCCCACCATTCTAACAAACATTCACCTGCCCTCCGAGCTTCCCAGAGATTTGTCCACCAATCCTGAAAAGTGGACCCCTCCCCCTCTCCCTCCAAGAGCTGCACATTCAGTTTCCAATAACCTGGATAAAGCCGGATCATCCCATCCCAGTCCTAGCCCACTAGCACTGCACGACGGCCTGAAAACGCCACATCAAAGATTTGAACACGCCCTACCCGAATTCCTTGCGTTACATACAGTCTATCCAGACGAGCCGTATAGCCTCTTCGTATGAACGTATGTTCCACCCCCCACCCTCCCCACCCTACCACGTCATTGACTCCTACATCCCCCAGCAGATTCCATAAGACAGGCAAAACGCACCCAGCCCCCCTCGGCTCAACGTCGCCATTTTGTATAACGCAATTCCAATCCCTACCCATGACCATTATTAAAAGCAAGCCCCAAGTGTGATACATTAAATCATTCCTCACGAAATCCACTTTAACTTTTGTGTTGTTTTCCACAGGCATATAAACTCCAATAAAACAAACTCTAACCCACCCAATACCCATCCACCCTTCCCACCTCCACCTCCCCCCTCCTCCCATCCAAAGACATGCCAAAGGCTGGACTTCTTCACCGCTATAGCCACTCCACCCTTAAATTTTAAAGAATTACTTACATTCGGTAGCCTTTTAACCATAACTCTATACTAGACCTGCAATTGTGTTCATGTATAAAACATACATCCACAGCGTAACGTCGTAAAAACCACTCCATCCATACACAGTTAACCTCCGCCCGCAGGCCATTGGCATTGATGGTTACATACTTGAATTTACAAAAATGGTGGCTTTCCTCTATGTTTGCGGGTCTTTCCCTTTCTCACTCGTACATTACACTGACCTTCTTTGGCATTCGACTTCTCAAGACCCCCCCATGCCCTACCCATATGCTGGGCACATACGACTACCCTTTCCGTGAGAGGCGCCACAGCCACTTTCGTCCACATGCCACCATCCACATGCATCTCCTCGCCAGACGAAGCCTCCTGGTGGACCTCCACCACCACCCCATGCGCCCGTGCCATCGTGGTTTCGTCCTGTTCCCTCACATTCAGCGATTCCTCCGTCGCCAACTCACAACACTTCGGTGAAACAACAGGACCATGCTCTGTCCCATCCAGGAGGTCGTGCAGAAAGTCCTCCAGGAACCTCTCCTGTGTGAAATTCACAGGCCCCACAGAAAGTCCGGGAGTGGTTGTGGCATCCACTGACAGGGTGGCACACATCGTAGACTGCGTTTCCTTTTATTGCATCTCTTCACTCCAAAGCTTGGTACCTTACCCAGCCGAGGGACCAGACTCAGGCTCGAAGGCCTCAGCTTGTAGACCCACAGGTGAAGGTTCCCGGGTGTTGACAACCAGGCGATGGGAGCACTGAGCAGCCATATGGTCATATGAGTTGCATAACCTGCATGTATTCCATTGGCCTGTGTAGTGAACAAACACCTGCGTCCTGTATGTCTCCAGACGTACGTAAAATGGAATTGGCTCTTTTAACGTCATCTTGATGGTGAAGGAGCCCTCGTATGGGCCTTTCTCCACACTCCCTTGGCTGCTGCATGCACCGTTCCGTATATGTCTAAAACTTCCCGAAGATCGTACCCCTCAGCCTCGAAAGGCACGTTCCTCACCTTGACCCAGGTAACATATGTGGAGATGTCATGTAGACAAACCTCTACAGCTGAATTCACCACCATTCTTCTTTCTTGAAAAACTTGCACAATCTTTGTGTAAAAGCCGGCAATTGCGAATTTCCCAAATATCCTCAACATCTCATCGAGAGCTACACCATATAATTCCTCGTTGGGGATGCCGTAGACATCGCGAATAATGCACGGCATTAATACATTCATCGTAGCACTACTGAGGGATCCACGGATGAACTCAACACAGACCGTGTTTACTCTCCGACCTTGACGGTTCGCCATCTTGCATATTGTAGTACACGGGCCGCCACCAAGTGTATGCAGGAGCAGGCTCAGAAAGCATCCTCCCAGCCCTCAGGTTGAGAGACGAATGCTTGTGCAATTGATGGGTATGAAAGTGGTTAACGATCTAGCTTCTTAGAACCCTTCCAAAAAATTTTGTGAGGGAGGCAGGGGGACGTTAATGCTATCATCTGTAATCCTTTGCAATTACTTTACTGCCACCTTTGTGGAGTGAGTTTATGTCTACTGCTTTTAATGACTGTGGGATAACCCCTGTGTCCATCATCCCACTTCATAGAATATTTAAGGCACATGAATGGGGTTTCTTGCAGTTCTTGATGAACACGGAGTCCCAAGAGTCTGATTGAGTGAATGGGCATGTCCTTTATTACTTTTTCAAAGTCCTGTAGTGTTAGGACAATATCAGAAATTCTTCAGTTAACCAAGTTTTGAGTCTTGGTCATTAAAAATTCGTCGACACTTAATCTGACTAATGCTCACTAAACACTGAGCCATATTGACACTTCAGTATCTAGCTCATTTATTTGTTGTCATCTGTGTAAGTCCCATCGATGTTGTTTAAGCAAGGGCCCAGTACTGGATGTTGTTTAAGCAAGGGCCCAGTACTGGATGTGGCTTTTGTCCTAGATTTGGCATGGTAAAATAAATATTTTGTTTTTGTTTTTTAATTTCATTTACGGCTTTAAGTTTTGCTTGTGTTTCTTGGCTCCTGTATGAGTCCGTAAACTTGAGTTCGATTTTTTCAATTTCTCTGGCCAGTGCCTCCTTCCGTATTTCAAATATTTTGGCCTCTTTCAGAAGCTCTGTGATTCTTTGTTTTCACCTTTAGAGTAAGCATCTCTCCCTTTCTAGTTTATATCTTCTCTTTTCTTAGGGAAATGTGCTTTGAGCATACCTCAAGTGCCACAGAGTTAATTCTTTCCAGAAAAGGGTTTGGATCCGTGTTTTTTAAGGATATCTTCCAATTTGTTTCGTTTAGAACATGTTTAATGTGATCCCACTATCTGTTCCTATTACTGAAGATGAATTTGGTGAAGGTACCCTTGTAACTGGCCTCATTTTAATGAAAAGTATTGAAAATTATGGCAATCATTTGGATCGCCTCTGTAAAAGAAAACTTACCTATGTGACATTGGCATCGGTCTATAAAATACCCACCTGTGTGACGTGGGCTCTGGAGACAATATGTAGGTTGCCTCGGTCGAGTGCAGGACGGAGGTAAGACTGCGCCACTGAAGACCTGCCTCCATCAACTTGTGTCATGTCAGCTACAGAGAATCCTGAAAACCAGATTTTATATTAGAAACTACGTGATTCCTGAAACCCAGGGGTTATATGACACTAGATTAATCCTGAAATCCAGGGGTTATATGATACTAGATAAATCCTAGAATCCAAGGGTTATATGACACTAGATTAATCCTGAAATCCAGGGGTTATATGATACTAGATAAATCCTAGAATCCAAGGGTTATATGACACTAGATTAATCCTGAAATCCAGGGGTTATATGATACTAGATAAATCCTAGAATCCAAGGGTTATATGACACTAGATGAATCTTGAAATCCAGGGGTTATATGATTCTAGATAAATCCTAGAATCCAAGGGTTATATGACACTAGATTAATCCTGAAATCCAGGGGTTATATGATTCTAGATAAATCCTAGAATCCAAGGGTTATATGACACTAGATGAATCTTGAAATCCAGGGGTTATATGCCACTTCAAATCATACCTACAAAATAAGTATAAAATAGTTACAGATTAGATCACAGAATCATAAATATAAACAAAATATAGAAGAATCTTAAAAACAAAATCGTGACTTTAGTTTTTGCTTACCTATCTGTTCTGGCCCGTTGGCGTCAATGACACTGTAGCCTAGTTCTTGTCCAGCCTTGAGGTAGCCAGCGAGGAGCGGCGCTCCCCACCGCTTGTCATCCACTGACAGCGGCCCCCCTCGACCGTGGTACTCGGCTAAGGAAAAGGTACAGGGTGAGGCAGGGGTACAGGGTGAGGCAGGAGTACAGGGTGGGACAGGGCACAGGGTGAGACAGGGCTCAGGGTAGAACAGGGCTCAGGGTGAGACAGGGTTTTATAATTGTTAAAGTCTATCGACAGCGACCCCAATGGAAATAAGTCATTTTAACTTTTTTGGGGAGTATTTTAGATATACATAGATTAATATATATGATAATTGTACTTATGGATATCTGTCCCTAATAAACTTACTGGCTACTCAGAAAAGTCGTCATCAAGATGTCATTGATGTCAGGTACACCTGCATACCATATACATGTATTTGTAGTAAATAAATATATATTATCATCATCATTATTATTACTAGTCAAGTCTATTTTAATCACTAAGGTCGGGAATAAACTGTGAAGGTGTATGCCCAGATATACAACTCTGTGTACACATCTTGTGACAGAGATAGAGGGTATGGTAGTCAGTATGGTAGTGGAAGGTAGAGTAGTAAGGTGGCAGACAGGGTAGAAGGTGTAGTTGTAGGGATGGACAGGTAGTGGTCTGATGGGGGAGAATATTGGTGGAGGGGAAGGGGTGGGTAATTTAGGGGTTTCAGGGAGGAAGGGCTAAGAGGAGGTGGCAGAGAGGCAGTGACAGGGAGGAAGGGCTAGGAGGGGGTGCAGAGCGGCAGTGAGAGGGAGGAAGGGCTAAGATGGGGTGGCAGAGAGGCAGTGAGAGGGATGAACGGCTAAGAGGGGATGGCAGAGAGGCATTGAGAGGAAGGAAGGCTAAGAGGTGAGGGGGTGACTATGAAAAATGAAACATCTTGGTACACAGATCGTCGCTTGATCATTCAGGCTATTAGTGCCGGCCACATGCAGGTCAACATCGGCATCATAGCATGGCTGATCAAAAATTGTTTTCATTTTTCAATGTCTTTCTCGTAGCTCGATTGGCAGAGCACTCGGCTCATACAATGAGGTCCTTGGTTCGATACCCGGTAAGGGTGGAAACATTAGGACGTGTTTCCTTATGACACCTGTTGTTCCTATTCGCCTAGCAGTAAATAGGTACCTGGGTGTTAGCCGGTTGGTGTGGGTCTCATCCTGGGACAAAACTGACCTAGTTTGCCAGAAATGTTCTGCATAACAGCATTAGACTTTCTCTATAGAAGTATGTCATTGATGTCAGCTATGATCTGTATATCTTGTACATGTACTTGTAGTAAATAAAAATTATTATTATTATTATTATTATTATTATTATTATTATTATTATTATTATTATTATTATTATGAGTGATATATCTCATCTGTCTTCTTGTTACTCGTTTCTCCATAGTGTTCTTGTTACATGTTCCTCTGTAGTGTTCTTGTTACATGTTCCTCTGTAGTGTTCTTGTTACATGTTCCTCTGTAGTGTTCTTGTTACATGTTCCTCTGTAGTGTTCTTGTTACATGTTCCTCTGTAGTGTTCTTGTTACATGTTCCTCTGTAGTGTTCTTGTTACATGTTCCTCTGTAGTGTTCTTGTTACATGTTCCTCTGTAGTGTTCTTGTTACATGTTCCTCTGTAGTGTTCTTGTTACATGTTCCTCTGTAGTGTTCTTGTTACATGTTCCTCTGTAGTGTTCTTGTTACATGTTCCTCTGTAGTGTTCTTGTTACATGTTCCTCTGTAGTGTTCTTGTTACATGTTCCTCTCCAGTGTTCTTGTTACATGTTCCTCTGTAGTGTTCTTGTTACATGTTCCTCTCTAGTGTTCTTGTTACATGTTCCTCTGTAGTGTTCTTGTTACATGTTCCTCTGTAGTGTTCTTGTTACATGTTCCTCTGTAGTGTTCTTGTTACATGTTCCTCTGTAGTGTTCTTGTTACATGTTCCTCTGTAGTGTTTTTGTTACATGTTCCTCTGTAGTGTTCTTGTTACATGTTCCTCTGTAGTGTTCTTGTTACATATTCCTCTGTAGTGTTCTTGTTACATGTTCCTCTGCAGTGTTCTTGTTACATGTTCCTCTGTAGTGTTCTTGTTACATGTTCCTCTGCAGTGTTCTTGTTACATGTTCCTCTGTAGTGTTCTTGTTACATGTTCCTCTGTAGTGTTCTTGTTACATGTTCCTCTGTAGTGTTTTTGTTACATATTCCTCTGTAGTGTTCTTGTTACATGTGCCTCTGTAGTGTTCTTGTTACATGTTCCTCTGTAGTGTTCTTGTTACATGTTCCTCTGCAGTGTTCTTGTTACATGTTCCTCTGTAGTGTTCTTGTTACATGTTCAACTTGAGTGTTCTGTTCATGTCCATTGTATGTTCTTGTTACATGATGAATGTAGTGTTCTACTCCTTACCTTGTTCTTGTTACATGTTCCTCTGTAGTGCTCTTGTTACATAATTGAATGTAGTGTTCTACCTCCTTACCTGTGTTCTTGTTACATGTTCCTGTAGTGTTCTTACTACTGACTGAATTAGCGTTCTCCCTCTTACTGTATTTTGTTACGTGTTCCTCTGTAGTGTTCTTGTTACATACTGATGTAGCGCTCTCCTCCTTACCTGTGTTCTTGTTACGTGTTCCTCTGTAGTGTTCTTGTTACATGACTGAATGTTAGCGCTCTCCCTCCTTACTGTGTTCTTGTTACGTGTTCCTCTGTAGTGTTCTTGTTACATGACTGAATGTAGCGCTCTCCTCCTACCTGTGTTCTTGTTACGTGTTCCTCTGTAGTGTTCTTGTTACATGACTGAATGTAGCGCTCTCCCCCTTACCTGTGTTCTGTACGTGTTCCTCTGTAGTGTTCTTGTTACATGACTGAATGTAGCGCTCTCCCTCCTTACCTGTGTTCTTGTTACGTGTTCCTCTGTAGTGTTCTTGTTACATGACTGAATGTAGCGCTCTCCCTCCTTACCTGTGTTCTTGTTACGTGTTCCTCTGTAGTGTTCTTGTTACATGACTGAATGTAGCGCTCTCCCTCCTTACCTGTGTTCTTGTTACGTGTTCCTCTGTAGTGTTCTTGTTACATGACTGAATGTAGCGCTCTCCCTCCTTACCTGTGTTCTTGTTACGTGTTCCTCTGTAGTGTTCTTGTTACATGACTGAATGTAGCGCTCTCCCTCCTTACCTGTGTTCTTGTTACGTGTTCCTCTGTAATGCTCCGCCTTCTTGAAGTAGCGTAGGACAGTGTGGTAGTCCCAGCCAGGGTTGCCCAGCGCTTGCCAGTGGTCGTAGTCACGACTGTTGCCTCTCACGTACATCATCCAGTTGATGGTTGACGACCCACCCACCACACGACCCAGTGGAAAGGCACACGCCTGCGTCACAACATTACCATAAGATAAAGAGATCCAGTTGATGGTTGACGACCCACCCACCACACGACCCAGTGGAAAGGCACACGCCTGCGTCACAATATTACCATAAGATAAAGAGATCCAGTTGATGGTTGATGACTCACCCACCACACGACCCAGGGGGAAGGCACACGCCTGCCTCACAACATTACCATAAGATAAAGAGATCCAGTTGATGGTTGATGACTCACCCACCACACGACCCAGGGGGAAGGCACAAGCCTGCCTCATAACATTACCATAAGATAACGATATCCAGTTGATGGTTGACGACCCACCCACCACACGACCCAGAGGGAAGGCACACGCCTGCCTTACAACATTACCGTATAACATGAGATAAACAGAAACATGACAATATGTGCTGACAATGGAAATATGCCGACAGTTGGAGGAAAAAGACACATAAATCCTTTATTGAAACATTGTACAGAAAAATACTACACTGTGTATAAGTTAGTTACACAAAGCTCCGTCGTCAGTGGCGCTGACGACGACTGCAGAACAGACCACGGAAAGGATGAGATTTGAGTTCTAAAACTCAGAGGCCAGTGTGTTTACCACTGGTCCAGCTGACTCTAATACGATTCATCTAGCTGGGTATATGGTATATTGATCAGCCAGACACTATCATTCCAGGGCAATAAGATAAATTTTATACACTACTGCCAATATGAAAATGGGATATTCTGGAAGTTAGACAGATATATTATTGCAGTCCACTTTCCAGTTTAAATATCGGATACAGATGAGTCAATTGGACCTTTACAAGATGAACAGTTTTTTTCAATACACTGACCATGAATGTACACTGCAGTTCACTGGTAAATCAGCCGCGTGAATAATACTTACACTGGTAAGTAACACACAGATTAATCAATAGTTTTAGTTTAGCATCTTCATTATGCATCCCATTCCTAACCTGTGGGTGGTAGTCACTCCATACTCATTCTGTGGGTGGTAGTCACTCCATACTCCTGTGGGTGGTAGTCACTCCATACTCATCCTGTGGGTGGTAGTCACTCCATACTCATCCTTTGGGTGGTAGTCACTCCATACTCCTGTGGGTGGTAGTCACTCCATACTCATCCTGTGGGTGGCAGTCAGTCCATACTCCTGTGGGTGGTAGTCACTCCATGCTCATCCTGTGGGCGGTAGTTACCACAAACCCATACTGTGGGCGGTAGCCAAAAGACTACAGAGGTACATAATGGGTCCAGGGACTGGGCCATTAAGTTTTGAAACCAAGTTAGAGTGGTATGAACTATTTACATGTTTATATCTGGTCAGAAAAGTAATGTGTTATTTATGCAACACACACACACACACACTGGTACTGAAAAACCTCATGCATCAACATGTTTGAGACACTACCAGGGAGAGAGGTGAGGATGATCCAGCAAGACTGGACCTTGTATCCACCTTGAGTAGTTCGGACATCGAGGATATCATGCATGAAAGACCCCTAGGAGCTAGTGATCATGTGGTTTTGTGCTTTGACTACATAGTTGAGCTTCAAGTGAAGAAAGTGGCAGGAATAGGATGGGAAAAACCAAACTACAAAAGGGGAGACTACTCATGCTTGAGGAACTTCCTGCAGGACATTCAGTGGGAGAGAGAACTGACAGGAAAACCAGTACGAGAAATCATGGACTATGTGACAACAAAAATGCAAGGAGGCAGAGGAGAGGTTTGTTCCTAAGGGAAACAAAAATAACGGGAAGAACAGAACGAGTCCTTGGTTCACCCAAAGGTGTAGAGAGGCAAAATCTAGGTGCACTAGAGAATGGAAAAGGTACAGAAGACAAAGAACTCAGGAAAATAAAGAGATTAGCCGAAGAGTCAAAAAAGAATATGCACAGATAAGAAGGGAGGCTCAGCGACAATATGAAAATGACATAGTATCGAAAGTCAAGTCTGACCCGAAGCTGTTGTATAGCCACACCAGGAGGAAAACAACAGTCAAGGACCAGGTAATCAGACTGAGGAAGGGTGAGGAGATCAACATGAGATTTAAAGAAGTATGTACAGTGGAAACCGGTAGGACTCCAGGAAATCAGAACAGGGAGGTACACCAACAAGTGCTGGATGAGGTACACATAACCAAGGAGGAGGTGAAGAAGCTGCTATGTGAACCTGACACCTCAAAGGCGGTGGGATCAGACAATATCTCACCGTGGGTCCTTAGAGAGGGAGCAGGGATGCTGTGTGTGCCATTAACAAAGATCTTCAACACATCTATTGAAACTGGCCAACTCCCTGAGGTAAGGAAGATGGCAAATGCAGTCCCAATTTTTAAAAAAGGAGACAGACATGAGGCATTGAACTACAGACCTGTGTCACTAACGTGTATAGTATGCAAAGTCATGGAGATCATCAGGAGGAGAGTGATGGAGCACCTGGAAAGAAACAAGGGTATAATTGACTACCAGCATGGTTTCAGGGAAGGAAAATCCTGCGTAACAAACCTACTGGAGTTTTATGACAAGGTGACAGAATCAAGACAAGAGAGAGAGGGGTGGATAGACTGCATTTTCTTGGACTGCAAGAAGGCCTTCGATACAATCCCTCACAAGAGGTTATTGCAAAAGCTAGAGGATCAGGCACACATAACAGGAAAGGCACTGCAATGGATCAGAGAATACCTGACAGGGAGGCAACAACGAGTCATGGTACGCTCGTCACAGTGGGCGCCTGTGACGAGCGGGGTCCCACAGGGGTCAGTTCTAGGACAAGTGCTATTTTTGATATATGCGAACGACATGATGGAAGGAATAGACTCTGAAGTGTCCCTATACGCAGATGATGTGAAGTTGATGAGAAGAATTAAATCGGATGAGGATGAGGCAGGACTGCAAAGAGACCTGGACAGGCTGGACACGTGGTCCAGAAACTGGCTTCTCGAATTCAATCCAGCCAAATGCAAAGTCATGAAGATTGGGGAGGGGCAAAGAAGACCGCAGACAGAGTATAGGCTAGGTGGACAAAGACTACAGACCTCACTCAGGGAGAAAGATCTTGGGGTGACCATAACACCGAGCACGTCACCGGAGGCACACATCAACCAAATAACTGCTGTAGCATACGGACGCCTGACAAAACTGAGAATGGCTTTTCGACACCTTAATAAGGAATCGTTCAAGACACTGTACACTGTGTATGTTAGGCCCATACTGGAGCATGCAACACCAGTCTGGAACTCACACCTGGTCAAGCACGTCAAGAAGTTAGAGAAAGTACAAAGGTTTGCAACAAGGCTAGTTCCAGAGGTCAGGGGAATGTCGTACGAGGAAAGGTTGAGGGAAATCGGACTGACGACACTGGAGGACAGAAGGGTCAGGGGAGACATGATAACGACATGCAAGATACTGCGGGGAATAGACAAGGTGGACAGAGATAGGATGTTCCAGAGAGGGGACACAGAAACAAGGGGTCTCAATTGGAAGCTGAAGACTCAGACGAATCACAAGGACGTTAGGAAGTATTTCTTCAGTCATAGAGCTGTCAGCAAGTGGAATAGCCTAGCAAGTGAAGTAGTGGAGACAGGAACCATACATAGTTTTAAGAAGAGGTATGACAAAGCTCAGGAAGTAGAGTGGGAAAGGACCTAGTAGCGATCAGTGAAGAGGCGGGGCCAGGAGCTGAGTCTCGACCCCTGCAACCACAATTAGGTGAGTACAATTAGGTGAGTACACACACACAAACACACACACACACACACACACATACACACACACACACACACACACACACACACACACACACACACACACACATACACACACACACACGCACACACACAATGGAAGTCACAGTGGGAGGTGGAAAGGGAGAGATCCATGTTTGTCTATGGGCTAGACGAAGCTAAAGGGAAAACTTATGATGAAAGAAAGCAGGAGGAGAAAAAAGCGATTGAAGATATCATGAAGGTGATAGGCGAGGGGGACATGACCCAGGTGGCAAATTTTCGGAGAATTGGGTGGTTCACAATGAAAAGGAATCGGCCTCTCAAAGTAGTTTTTAAGGCAGAAACAACCCGAACAATGATCCTGAAGGAGAAAGCACGGCTGAGAGGCAAGCAAGAGTTCCGGAGTGTGTACCTCGATCGAGACAGAACACAGGACGAAAGGAAGACGATGAAAGAGTTCAAAAACGAAAGGAGAAATGGGAGGAAATGAAAAAGGAGAGCAGAATAACCCAGGATCAAATTGAAGGACAAGCACACCCCCCAGAAACACCTGCAGAAGGACTCCAGCCACGACACCCCCAAGGCAACTGAACAATCCAAACCAACCATCACACACCGATCCCTCTGTTTCCACCCCCCGCACCACAGTTACAGTATTAGAACAGAAGTTGAAGGTTTGGTACACAAATGCAGATGGATTAACGAATAAACATGAGGAATGGCAAGAAAGAATCAATGAGAAGTCCCCAGACATCATAGCAGTTACAGAAACAAAACTCACGGAGACAATAACAGATGCAATCTTCCCACCAGGATACCAGATCATGAGGAAAGATAGAAGGGGCAGGGGGGAGGTGGGCTTGCTCTGCTCGTAAAAAACAGATGGAAATTCGAGAAAATGGAAGGCATAGATGAGACGGGAGAAAGAGACTACATAGCAGGTACACTTCAGTCAGGGGAAAACAAAGTAGTCATTGCAGTGATGTATAATCCACCACAGAACTGCAGGAGGCCAAGAGAGGAATATGAAGAGAGCAACAGAGCAATGGTGGACACATTTGCTGAGGTGGCAAGAAGAGCTCATTCCAGCAGAGCAAAGTTGCTGGTTATGGGGGATTTCAACCACAGGGAGATTGACTTGGAAAACCTGGAGCCACAAGGGGGTCCCGAAACATGGAGAGCCAGGATCTTGGACGTGGTGCTGGAAAACCTCATGCACCAACATGTTAAGGACACTACCAGAGTGAGAGGGGAGGATGAACCAGCAAGATTG